GTGGGCGGTATTTTGTTTGCATGTGAAATGGAGAAGGGATAGACAAAGGGTTTTGTTTCTTTGTTTGGTGTTTTAAAAGTTTGTAGGGAGCTATTGGATACGTATATGTCTATAGCGCTTGACCACGTTGCATGATCAAATTAGTTGAAAATTAATTACCAGTGTCAAATTGATCACCGGATAACGTATCGATGAATTAAAGGAATTTTTATATTGTATGATCGTTCATCAACATAATAGCCATCAAATATATATAATTGTTTTTGGCGAACCTAAATATGTAACTTTGCCTAATTTGAAGTGTCAAACTGATAGCTTGGATCAAATATAAATGTCTATTTATTTAGATGCACAGGTCCAACATGATAATTTTATTTGTTATTTTGAGGTCAATAATTTGATTGTATACATAAATAAATAACATAAAACTATCAATAATGTTGTACTTGAACCACATTTTCTTTACCAGCATTTGATATTATAGGTAACAATAATAATTATTAGAAGAAACACATTTTAACGTTTTATTCCTGGTCATCAATTAAGCCCTTTTGGAAAGTACTCTCTCCATAAGTGGTGCTACTTTCAATTCGATGTCTTAAGAAATCTACTCACTCATAAAAATAAAGAAGTGATTTTACGAACTTAATTAGTTGTTGCAATTCGATGTTGTATTATTTAATTAATTTAAAAGTAAAGTATTTCCGTTCTCACAAAAGTAATAGCTATAAGTTTTTGTCTCGAGACTTGAGTATAAAAAATCTTTGGTAAAGAGCTCTTCATAGAGTAATATATATGTTAATATGCTTAATAATAATAACAAGGGGTGGTGGCGCAGTTGGCTAGCGCGTAGGTCTCATAGCGTCTGAGTAATCCTGAGGTCGAGAGTTCGAGCCTCTCTCACCCCAATTTTTTAACACTTTTTTATTAAAAAAGAAAATAACAGTTTTAAATTCTGATATTGGAAATATGGTTCTACTAAGATTAATAGTAAAATTTTACTCCTCCTCTCTTTATAATCTCTTTTACTTTTTTCATTTATTGCTTATTTTCACTATATTTTTTTATTCAATTCTTGTTGTTAGTGCTTTGTCTCTGATCCTAATACGTTTTAGCATCTGCAAGAGATAGACTCTGAGCATTCTGATCCTAGTACGTTTTAGCATCTGCAAGAGACGAGTACGCTTTATTATGCTTTAAAATGCACTCATGCTATGCCAAAATAGTACTATTTGACATGATCACTAAAAGAGAATGCACCTTGTAGGTGAACCATCTCCATCGAGACACGTGCGCTTTATTATGCTTTAAAATGCACTCATGCTATGCCAAAATAGTACTATTTGACATGATCACTTGAAGAGGATGCACCTTGTAGGTGAACCATCTCCATCGAGACACGTGCGCTTTATTATGCTTTAAAATGCACTCATGCTAAGCCAAAATAGTACTATTTGGCATGATCACTGGAAGAGGATGCACCTTGTAGGTGAACCATCTCCATCGAGACACGTGCGCTTTATTATGCTTTAAAATGCACTCATGCCAAGCCAAAATAGTACTATTTGACATGATCACTAAAAGAGAATGCACCTTGTAGGTGAACCATCTCCATCGAGACACGTGCGCTTTATTATGCTTTAAAATGCACTCATGCCAAGCCAAAATAGTACTATTTGACATGATCACTTGAAGAGGATGCACCTTGTAGGTGAACCATCTCCATCGAGACACGTGCGCTTTATTATGCTTTAAAATGCACTCATGCCAAGCCAAAATAGTACTATTTGACATGATCACTTGAAGAGGATGCACCTTGTAGGTGAACCATCTCCATAAACCAGCCTTAAGGGTGTGCAAACTCCCGGGACTGCATCATCGAGGTTGAGACCTTCCACTGGAATAATATCCTGATGCATATATAAACAAGAAACCTATTGGCATTTCTTTAACAAAAGTGTTTTCATCAAATTTTAAGTTTTATACACCGACAATGATACATCAGTTCAATTTAACCGACTACCAACAGGTTATTATTAGTCTATTTTCCAAATTATAGATTAGGCTTGTTATACAGAGTTATTTGTACATAGGTCAACTTAACTTGATAATATTAAAAGAATCTATATGTACTTAACAACAACAACATATCCCAGGAAATCCCACAAGTGGGGTTTGGGGAGAGTGGAGTGTATGCAAACGTTACCACTATCTTGTGGAGGTACACAAACCTTAAACTCAATCAAATTAGGCAAACGGACTTACTTTAGGATCCAGAAGTAGTTGATGATGAACTTTAACGAGCTCTTCCTTGGGATTAATGGCAACAGATAAGTAATCAACACCAACGAGTTTGATGTCAGTATTCTGGACCAAATACTCTGCTCCATCTGAGGTGAATGCAGCATAGGAGGAATCAAATTCTTTCTTGTACATCAGCCTCCTGTTTATGTTCACAATATTACATCCAACACAAAACGACATGACAAAATGAACAAATTAAACAACTTATGTAAGTAGTTTTAGCAGGCTTGAAAGTTGAAACAAGTTAATGCCTCCAATGGACAAACGAACAAGTACCTGTCTGTGTTTAGTGTTTGAAAAAGAACACGTTTCACTCCCCGAGGTATGTTCAATGACCTCATCACTTCAGCTGATGAATACAAGAACGAGCAATAATAAGGTTTATATCATTTGGTGCAAATTAGTTTCTAACAGACACAGTGTATTAACAAGAAAATAAGTAAGTAGGCAGGCAAGATACTATCCCAAAAATTAGCAACATACCTGTAATATTCTTGTCCCGTGGGGTGTCCACTACAACTACAAGAACTGGACCTGCATTCACACCAAAAATATGCCATTTTTTTCAAAGAGAAAAAGAAAATAAAACCCGGCTAAATTGCAGGTAAGACTAGTATATATAGGCAGAAACCACAAGTGTATTCAGTATGTCGAACCTGAACAACAACATATCCAGTATAATCCCATTATCTTACCCCTACTTAGAGATTGTTCCTGAAAAATACTCGACTCAAAAGAAAGAAAGTTGAAACATGTTTACAAGGAAAAAGAATATGACTACACACTATCAAGATACAAAGCAACTAAAAGTGCTACAACACTCTGCTACCTACTAGTAAGGAGAAAAAGAAAGGAGAAAACTAGGCCTACGTCCCATATAAAAGTGCTACAATACAACACTGTGCTACCTAAGGAGAAAACTAGGCCTACTTTGTGCCCTAACTCTTAATCTCCAAAATTTCCTATATAATCCGCAAATACTTCTTCGGCCTATCTCTACCTCCAGTGAGCTGGAGCTCCAAATACAAGAAATTAACAAATAGATGCCAGAAGCATTACCATTCAAAGTTGGTAGATGCTAGTCTCAAGTTTTATGAAGTTTCCCAGTCCATTTTTGGAACCATAAGCAGGCAAATCAAGAGCATACTTGTGGCTAATGTCAATTACTTTCTTTTTCATGTAATTTCTCTCTTCTTCCATGATACGGCAGCGAGCGGCAGCAGGGGGCAGAATAGTGAAGTGTTATGATTAGTCATTGGAGAAGAGTAGAGAAGTGGATAACAGTGGAAGGAGAGGACAAGTGAGGACTGAAACACACAGAAAGTTGTTGAAATAGTGACACTTGTATTTTTTTGTAACGGCTAATTTGGCATTTGTCAGCAGGTGTGGATAGGGATCGGGGATGATATAGAGGATAGTCAAGAGTCATTTGAACTCCCTCGTAAAAACTATTTGTTAATAAATAAATTTTAATAATAACAAACATAAAAATCATATTAGTGTTATGTAGCTATAGCTTTGCTATTTGCGCAGAGATCTGATTCGTATAAATTTGCAGTTATTTGTATAAATCACGGCGATTTATATATATCAGGGCGTATATGTCTATGAGAATTGCATTTGTATATGTATATGTTATTTGCGTTAGGCTAGAGTGACGAACGAGATTAGGAGAGACGAGAGAGGCAAACGAGAGAGTGAAGAGAGGTGAATTGTATATATATATCGGTTAGATAATTCTATACTTGTGACTACTATGTATATGTATCAATGATTGTGTTTGTACATCTGCATAAAATTTAAATTCGTATACAATTGAATCGAGTTAAACATTTGTATTTGTATATCAAATCAATCTCTCGCTTTATACAAACATAATTATACGTTATATTTTGTATAATTTGTGTTTGTATAAATCGAGAAAGAGAGAAAGGCAAAAGTGAATTGGGCATGGAAAGATTTGTATATGTATAATTATAATTGTATAGGACGGAGAGATATGTATTTATATTTGTATTTGTATATGCAGTTCTCTCTCGCTTTATACAAACACGAACATAATTTATACATTTGTATTTGTATAAAGTGAGAGAGGCGAGCGAGAGAGTCGCGAGCAAGATTCAGGGGAGAGAGGCGAATGGCAAGGAGTTTGTTGTGAATTGGAATTAAATGAAACTGTAGTTATAACATTTATTTTGAATTAATAGTTTGCTATAATGCACAATTTTCCCTTTGTTAATTGAGATAATGATTTAGTCCATTAAAGATGAAGGCAAAATAGAGCCGAAAGGTTGACGTCGAGAGCATTTTAGGCCTGAAAGGCAGAAGAAGAGTAATGTTATACCAATTTGCATAGTTGAAGAGTATTTTAGGCCGTTTTCCGAAAACTAAAAAGTATATGTAAAAAAAACATCATATGTAAATAATAAACAACATTAATTAATGTCTCACATTATAACATATCATTATATTATATAAAAACATAGATCACAATACAATATTATTTAGATATATTGAATCATAATATTAACTTAAAGACCCAACCAACTAGATGGTATGGTTGAAGAAATCATTTGAAGTACATATGTTACTCTCATCATTGATTGTAACTTGTTAATCTTCTCAACCAAATCTTTTTTAAATTTTTTGATCTTTTGTATCAGTTGTTTCACTTTCTGAATCAGTCCCCTAGAATATTTTTTTTTGATAGAGCGCTCAAAATTATCTTCAGTAGCCTTTCCTTTTCCTTTGTCATCGATTGTCTTTTTTTTTTTCGTTTTGTTCATCTTCTCATGCTTTTGTGATCACAATTTTTTTCAATTGTCGTCCTACAGCTTGAAGAACACTCAGTTAATGATTTTGCCTGCAAAAACAGACCGACAATCAATCCAACATCTAGTTTACCAAATATAAATGGTTCAATCAAAGACAAAACAGAAATAAAGACAAAACTTGAACTAAACATAACATAACATAAACAAGCGGAAATCATAATATAATTCAACAATCCCCAAAACTTGGTGTCACGTGTACAAGTCACTAAGTATTACAATATATTCTAAAGAAATACAAGTCTGAATGTCTGCATATCTAGAATGGATCGAGGACATAATGAAAGAACAAGTGACATCTGCCGAAGAGACAAGTAGTTACCTCACAAACTCCAAATGCAAGCCTCGGATGAAGATGAGAGAAAGAGATCAAGACGATCCAGGCTCGTAACCTACTCAAGTGTAGAAAGCAAGGGAATGAGTACCAAACAACAACAATACTCAGCAACCATCCCCAGTTAACCCTAAGTAAAGAATATCGAACACAAGCACCCTATCACACCTTTCGAACCTTCTCATACTACAACCTGCATTAGAGATCATAAACAGTCCATCCTAACAGTTTCACAATATTAATAGAGCAACACATTTCAAGTAGATCATTGAATTTCACACACCAAAGTATCAACAATATCATTGAATTTCACACACCCGAGTATCAACAATATCATCAAAACCCTTCAAGCTCAATAGTGATGCAAAATTGCAAACATAACAACTCACTTACAAATACCAAGAATGATGATGAGGTGCAAGTGCAATGCAGAAAATTGTATAGAATTTAGACATACAAGATTGCATAAATACAGTAGCTTTGTACAGTGATTATCAATGAGAAATACAGAAATTCCATATTTTTTCTTTTAAGGTCTATTTTGAACTTTCTTTTTTTGACAGGTAGAATCCGAGAGCTTACTCTCACTTCAACAATTTATTATGTACAAATGCTACAGCTGCCCAGCCTAAGCTTGCCAAAGTGATAAGCAGCATTGCTTTTGTAATTTGGTCGTGGTCCCATTGTGTGGTGCTTTACTCCACTCCAACATATCTCTGGTGCTTCCTGCTACATATTATCAAGTAAATTAAACATGAGAAGGCGGCATATCACTTTCGGAACTCGTGACCCACACAAATATTCCAAGTTCCCCAGGTTTAAGATGTAGCTACAAATATTGCAACCGGCTCATCTTTATATCAAATATACCCAAGAACACAACCAACCGAGCACAAGTAAGGAACCTGACTGGTGTGCAACTTAAGCATAAATGAGAATATTTCACATTGAACTAAAACAGAAAAGTAGTTAAATAGCACACTCTGTGCAAGTACTGAAAGATGTACCTTATGGTTGGAAAAGTTTACAACGAGAGCATCACTTAATTACTATACACCTAACAGGTGATCCCTCAGCACCAAGCATCCTCAAGGGCAGGCAGTGTACAGTGTATATTCCAGGTTCTATATCATCAAGCTTCAATGCTTCCACGACAATGATCTCCTAGAGCATTTCAAACATGGTAAGATTTGAACAAGAGTTCTACAGGCATCAAAACAAGTAAATGTTCAACAGAATCACTAATGAATGTCGTAAGACTCGAGAAAACAATGAACAGTAGAAACACCAACTACAATTTGCTCATCTATTCAAATGAAAATAATCTAATTGGCATGTAGAAACAAAGATCACATCATGGGTCATTAACAATATATTTTCCAAGAAGACAGCGTATATATTTGTTACAATCTATGTTAAAAGTTCATTTTATTCCATGTGTAGTCCTTTTTTGGATAGCTAAAATGTGAAGTTCCATACTTGGGTCTCTGAATTAGGTGTTGTCTGCAATCACGAATGTTTGTCAGAGTTAGGTGACTGCAGACAACAGCTAACTCAAACTTATCCAGTATGGAAAAGTCAGAGAACTCTAACAATTGCTCAAACTATAATCCAACCACAATCAGTGGACTCCCAAAAGGCTATTTAGGCTCTCGCCAATAATTGTTTTCAGTTCGATCAAGGCTCAAACAAGGGCAGAAAATTTCCTGGTAATTAATAAGTTCACATTGAACTTCAGAATCATTTCACCTATGAAGGAAAACTTTTTCAATTGGTCATTACTTCTCTTCTCATGCTAATAGACACTTTAATGTAACACCTTTCTTCTGCAGATCACGAATCTTCATTCTCCAGACAACAAAGTAAATAGGTAATTCCTAATACTTAGAATCTCAAATATTCTTTTGTTTAACCATTGCTTAGAATCTCAATTTTTTGCACCTTGAAGAAGAATTTAGAAGAGAGAAATTTAAACAGCTGAGATAACACCACATCTCCTCCCACCCTCTCTCTTTCTATGGTCCTTTAAAGAAAGGGGGGAAACGGTTCAAATTACCCTATCAAATACCACTTACCCTGCTTTTGAGGAAAACAAGATGAGCAGGAATCAAATCATCATATGCAGCAATTGACAAATAATCAATTCCTGGAAAATATACCAGAATGTTAGCTAACCATTCCTTTACAAGAAAAAAAATGCTTGAATAAAATCAGGTGGTAAAATAGCACCATTTAATTTGGCATCAAGGAAATGCTATTAAATCACATGCAGGTCCAACAACTTTCTCATCCCAGAAAAATAATGCAGATTTTCTCATGTGATGTTCCACTGAACATAACGTAGAGAACCTTACCTAATTCATAATAATCAATGGATCTATCTTAAGCTTGTTGCCGCCTCCATTTTCTTTTTGCCTTTTTTGTTGATAACCGAGAACATGACCTTAGATAGGAGGGTATGAAGGTACAGATTAGGGTAGAAGGTTAGTAGGTACTTGAGCGTTGTCTTGCTTTTCGATGGGATTAGGCATGGTGGTAATCTAGAGCACCGTGTTTGTCGTATAATTAGCCTTATTCATGTAATTTCTTGCTATTGTTATCTGTTACTGTCAATTGTTTATTATGTTAAAAGTGATCACACTATTTTGTTGATGTTACTGTTCCTTGCCTATATGCTCTGCACTGCTTCCCTATTAGTTGTCAAGTTTTCTTCACTGACGTTTCTCCTTTCCATTACTACTTTGATTTACTTCACTTGAGTCGATGGTCTTTAATTAACACCGAAACAGTCTCTCTACTTCCACAAGGTAGGGATAAGGTCTACGCACAATCTACCCTCTCTAGACCCCACTTGTGGAATTTCACCGGGTATCTTGTTGTTGATAACCAAGAAATCCCTGAGGACAGGTGTATACGGTTTGAAACTCGGGGAATAATGGGCCCGCCCCTCTACCATTCTCTAATACTAGGCTCTTGTCTTCTGTAGGGTTCGGCACCATGACATGCGTCTAACCCACACATCACAAGTTACACACTTACCACTAGACCAAAGCCATGGGGGCAACCACCCCCAAGTTATATGCAAGATTTTAAATTACAATGGACAATTTTCCACAGAGAATTGAAAGCAGACTGTCTTCTTCATCATCAGTGTTTTCATGTGTCAACAAAGTTTTATAAACAGAAAAGTTTAACATTAATGCACAAAGGAACATGTAAACACACTCTTTGGTTGCAGATGGCAAGCTAAAAAAGACCAACTGATATGAAACAAAAGGCAAAGGATGCAGACAGTGACTCAACAATGAGAACCATACTAAACTGTGTGTGGATGTGAATGGAAATGGCATATTATGACCTCTTCTTAAATAGACTCAGATCAAGATAACACATGGGAAATGCAGCTGCTATACAGAAGTCTCTTTAGGGTAAAGTCAAAAATGAAAATTGAAGTTAAAAGATATGCAGAAACGCTGGCAAAGTTGGGAAGGAAAGAATAAAACCAGAGCATTTTACAAGAACCACGGCCAGTCAAACATGTTGGCAGAAGGCAAGAATGGAACCACTAGTGACAAAAAGATGAGGCTACACAATATACACGAACCACGACCTATGTGAATCCAATATAGGATAAAGCAAGACACATGGAGTCATGTTTCAGAGTAGATATTTGTCTTGAATTTTCTGGCCACCAATCCTAGTTTTGGCATTACTAAGAGGGACATGGCACATAGTAGACACCTATACTATATGCATGTGTGCAAATATACTTAAAAAGTGCTCTACAACATCCTCTTGCTTTAAATAAATTTTGTTCATTTGGTCTGAGAGGTCAAATTGGCTCCCCTGCTTGTGCATCCCATGCACGTGCCATTGATCTATCTGATGGGAGAGATCTACCAATTCCTTTATTTCAGTGTGTTGTATCCTCTATAGAGAAGGAGTACCCCCTCTATTCAATATATGATTTCTTGCTCAGAGGGAAGGTCATCTATATGGAATAACTGAATTTGCCAAAACAGCATTTTCTAAGCATTTCTTAGTTGAGTCCCTTCTTGACACGTCATGCTGGATTTGAAGAAAGAGAAATAAGAGTCTGATTCCACTAGATTTCATTGTTCAACAATCTCACTCTCCGATATAGTGATATCTGAAGCATATATTGATTAGATCTATGCAAAATAATATTACCTAATTCAGAATAAATATATACAATAAGGATGCTTTCACACCAATAATTAGGACACACTGGAAAGATCAAGCTGAGAAAACACTTTGACCAATAATTCTAGGTAACATAAAAGAAAGAGGTCATACTTATTGAGGTACATGAAATATATGTAGACACCAAAATGCGGACACCCCTCAGGACTACACAAAAGAAGTGGTAGATTGAGATAGTAGTGAATAATGTTAGGTGCAGCAGGAAAAAGAAAAACCTTGTGGGTGTCTTGAACTCATTTAAACCAATTATGGTAAAGCACTGCTCCACAAAACATTCAAGTAACCAGTAATCCACAACTTCATTCACAAATAACCAGGTCAAAGCCAATCATTTCTTTCCTTCAAATATCATCTTGTGACAAAAAATGTGGTATTGCATGCCTAACCAACAAGTTTGATGTCAGTGTTATCCACCAGCCACTGTGCACCATCCTTCATGAATCCCACAAAGCTTGAGTCTAACTTCTTTTTCCACATAAGACGCCTAATGGAAGTTCAAGGGAAAAGAAACTGTGTCAAATATAACAGTATATCCAAGTAAAATCAATTAAACCACATCCACTCTTTGGCTAAAGAAAAGTTAGCACGTCATACTTCTTGAAACCTTTTTCTTTGTTTGGTATGTGGAGAATGGAGATGCATATATTGAATGTTTGAACTATGGAAACTAACTATAAGAAGTCAGTGGTCCACAAGAAAAAAGATCAAAGCAAAGATGCTCAACCACAAATCTGAGCTCCGGCCACGTGTTTGGGGGGGTGGGGGGCAGTACCTAGCCATTTCATTTGAGGGAGAAAAAATTTTCATGAAGAATATTAGGCTTCTGAATACAGACCTCATTCTTTGCCACTGAATGTGGTAGATGGCAGCCTCTTTTGCTTTGAGCATTTTGTGGCCACTGCTTGCCTTAAATAGGCAGCTAAACAACAAAAAAGGGATGCTCATAGCTTGGAGGGCCTCTAATGTAACACCCCGTAATCGAAACAGACCAAACTACAGATTTCGAGAAGTTGCAGGTGCAACTTACGGTCACCATCCACGGACCGTAGGTCAGACCACGGCCCGTACTGGTGGTCCGTGGTTCACCACTGCAAACCCTCCCAAACCAGCTCAGAAAAAATATGCTAAGTCTCGACTCACGGACAAACCCACGGTCCGTAGATCAGACCACGGTCCGTGGTCTGTGTCCGTGGATTGAGACCTCATTTACCCAGTCTCTGACACAAACTACGGTCGACCAGTACGGACCATCAATCGATCCACGGTCCGTAGGTCTGACAGTAAGTTAGGGTCAACAGCCAGTTAGCTGAAAATTATTGATGGGTCAACTTCAGATGGTCATAACTTTTAGCACAAAAGGAATTGTGTGTCCCATTACCTATGATATGATA